GTACTCAGGGTAGCCATTGGATAGAAGAGAGCACATACACACTTTCACTCAACTTAATAGGCCAAAAAGCTAGATTTCCGCTTCCCCTATCCTTTGCATACATGCAAACATCTTACAGATTTGATGCCCGTTCATGTTTGCTTGGTTTAGTTGTTTTTTTTTGTTTTAAGGTAAAAAAAACGCTTCCAATGCAATGCTCTTTTCGAAGAAGATCAATTCACAACCAATTGGCTGTCTCTAAGTGGTATGCCAGTTCTGTGGAACACGTCATCGCATGCCTGCACGCCAGGATTGGGAGGTGCGACCGTACAAACAGTGACCAATCATCAACCTCTGTATAACCTAATCAGCAATCCTGATCATGAGTAGCTCCCTGCGTGTACACTTGATCCTCAATATACGTCCTGAATAAACGTGCTTCGTGCTACACGTCTGTTTCCTTTATAGTTAGGCTAGAGCTTAGCTGGTCCTAGGAGTCTAGCTAGATGTAGGAGGATCTACCATAGAGAGTTCTGAGTCGGTCAGGCTTTACTATCGTAGCAATCCGCTACAGTTCTCAATATGCGAGAGCATGAGGCCACTAGTATTTTGACTTTTAGCTTCCACATGACTCTCATTGTGATCTAGTAGTGAATTAACCTCCAAGTAGGAGTTACACGAAGAGACCTTTGGAAAATGAACAAATCCTGGAGTGGCTAAACTCAATTTGAGTTAGCTGTAAACTAGCAAAAAAACTTGACCCTTTAGTGGTACAACGGAAAGGTTAGAGCAGATCGTTATGAGTATGTTTTTTTTCAACAATGAGGAGGAATGGGACAGGTCGATTAGGTCGAAACAGTAAGACCAAAAGCAAAGTAACAGTCTTGGTGCATACAGGCAGAAAACTTCGATAAACAGTTGTTTAAGTGGGTGTTCCTGAGTGATCCTGAACCACTAAAACTACTTCAGCCAGTTCGTTTTCATAGGCTAACACCACTTAACGAATGCACAAACTACATTGATATTAGACAATAGGCTTTTTGATTTCAAATGCAGCATTTTATCACTGCGAGTAATACAGATTATTAAATATAGACCATGTCTACGAAAGACAAGAAATAAAATTGTAAACTGACTTGGAGCACATAGTCTAGACGTTTGCATTGATTCAATTGACATGGAAATGAGTCTTGGTCAACTTCCTCTTCCTCACCGTCGTAGTCAAAATCATCTTCCGATTTGGGTGAAGAAATATTATCGGCAAGACGGGAAAGAACTCTTTTGATTGCTTCCGAATCCTTCTCGTCTTCACTCATGTTTGTTGAATCGTCTTCCTGCGATTTAGATGCTCCGGACCTGAAAAAAATCCAAGACAATTAAAATGAGTAGGGAAGAGAAGAGGATAAAAAAAATAATGAGGACACATACGAGGTATGCGCTGAGGCGAATTCTTGGAGAGAGCGCCAGGTGGATTTGAGAGACTGGTAGAGCTTTGACGTGATATCGGCGCCAACTCGAGCGATGTTATCCTTGAGTTCAAGATGAAGACGTTTTCGTCCAGCGTGATGAGGCATTAGTACCGCACATGGCTATAGGGAAGTAATAAGAAGGGGAGACTCACTACATGGAGAATAGAGACGTATTTAGCTATTCCCCTGTTTTCCGATTTGGGGTACAATGTTATGGCGCGATTTAGAGGCATTGGAACAGAGCTAATAATAATACATCGCAGTTAGGGGGTGTGAGATAGACTTACCTCTTCGTGGTGCACCCTGGGGAACGTATAATCATACGGCAAAAAAGTCTATTAACTGGCAGTTGACTTCAAACTACCATCACCCCACTGTCTGTCATATTCGACCCCTACCACAGTACTCATCTTACTCTTTGTAAGCCTTGGTGTCTGTCTATTTCTTTTTACATCTGTCAATCACTCTTCTGTTCTCCCTCTCAAATTCTTCTCACTTTGATGTTCCTTCCCCCCTGTGAAGAGATTTTTTCTCACTTTAATGTTCCTCCCTTCTGTGAAGCTCGAAGTCAGCTAAAGGGCTAATGATAACTATCAAAACGCCGGCGAAGTCAGCTAAATGGCTAATGATAACTATCAAAACGCCTCCTGATAACTATCAAAACGCCTGTCATTTCTGCTTCTTTGATGAACCTTCCCTCTGTAAAGCCCGAACTATGCTACTTTGATGAACCTTCCCTCTGTGAAGCCCGTAGCTCTTTTTGTCACTTTGATGTTCCTTCCCCCCTGTGAAGACTGAAGTCAGCTAAAGGGCTAATGATAACTATCAAAACGCCTGCCATTTGACATAAATAAATAAATACATCGTAGTTAACAGTAGGAGGGGATATTCATACGCCATATCAAGTTAAAAGAGGTGGAAAAACAAGATGTTGCGTTACATCGATGTTATCATATTGGAACTGCACAAAATTCGTTGAAAAACGTTTAACTAAGTTTATAATGCATTCTCAGTGATTAAAGATTTGACTGATAGAAATAGTGGCAATTATTAGAGGTGATATAAGACACTGAATGTCTTATGGTATTGGCAACACTATCATGCAACTTTTAATGGAACTTATGGCACTGCAAGGCGTTTCTTGAGAAATACTGACAAGTATACTAGACAAAGATCACACAATGTGCATATGTGGCATTTGTGCAAGGATTAGAGCGTTTAGAGAGGTCAAAGAGACGATTTATTGAATAAGGCAAACACGTAATTGTGAAAGCGACGTGACAGATAGCAGAAATTGGCGTTGTTGCACTCATAATTACGATAGCAATGAGATCATTGGCAAGATGCAAAACACTATGTGGTTTGACAAAGGAGATCAAAAGAGGTAAAAATCAAAATGTAAAAATGAAAAAAACATCGGGATTGGCAAAAAAACAAGCGACAGAGGAAACACATTACATCCAGAGCATGTTATCAACTCTGTTCGATTTGATCCACCATCCTATTTGATCGCAACAGAGTTCGTTGACTAAACCTCAAAGTTAAATACGAACCTATGCGAATAACATGTTCCATATTACGTTATGAGAGGTGTGCGATAGACTTACCTCCACGTGGTGCACCCTGGGCAACGTATACTCATACGGCAAAAAAGTCCATTAATCGGCAGTTGACTTCAAAATACCATGACCCCACTGTATGACATATTCGACCACTTCCACAGTACTACCTCCATTTTTTCTAGATTTTCAACCTTCGTCTTTGAAACACTCTTCAGTTCCCCTCCTCTCGCATTTTTTCACTTTGATGTTCCTTCCCCTCTGTGAAGCCTGAAGTCGACTAAAGGGCTAATGATAACCATCAAAACGCCTGCCATTTGATATGAATAAAATATTACGTTATGAAAAAATAGAGGGGAATTGAACTCATCAGCATAACGACGTGAATCGATAATAAACTCAAATCAAAGGCATATAGCTCTTCCATTGAAAAATGAGCACAAAAGATCCAATCCCAACAACAACAAGGCTTTCATTTCGTACAAATAAAATGACTCACTCTGTAATCAGGCACCACAAGATTTTCCAATCTATAAGCGACAGGGTCGAATGGGTGAAAGATGTTGACACATCCCTGACAAGTAGGAAGACGGAAATCCGAAGGAAGACGTTCTACACCCCTTGCAATAAGAAATAGTGAGAGGGGAGATCCAAGTAAGAAGCATGTATTGAAAGTGAATCCCAGCTGGGGATAGTTAACAACTGGAAGACCAACGCCCGCAGAGTGAGCTACCACCTCCGAAGTCTTATTCATCGAGGTGAGTGCGTTGATAACTTGACGAATCTGTCCTTCAGATAGGTCTGTAGATATCTGGAGATGATTTATCAGATCAGCGTTGCTATTGCCGGCATTGCCACCATTAGAATTGGAGTCAATCAATGACCATTCATCGTCATCTGCACCTCCATTGGTAGATTTGACTGATGGTGTACTGGAAGGTGTACGACGTTGATGGGAGAGAAGATCAAATACTACCACGGAGCCCAAACTGTGGCCAGCCACCGAGAAGTCACCCTAGAAAGTTAAAAAATGGCATTTCATATTTCAATCCCATGTTACACCTTTGAAGGTAACGCTTGTGGTACCAAAAAAGGACTGCAGTAAGGAGCTTGAACAGCTAATCTTGCACGAAGTAGGAACGAATATTTTTGCTGACTGGAATAATAATACTAATAATGCATGGCATTCATTTAACAGAAATCGTTACTGGGGAATTAGATTTTCGATTTTTAAATTTGCAACCTCCTCCTTTTTGAGGGTCAAGCAGTATCGCATTGGTAGAACCTAGGTTGGAGTCCGTTGGATAACACAACGACCAGTTCCATCAAACATAATCGAGTAAAACATCAAGCGAGGGCCCCTTAAATGTATTTGGAATCGTAATGCCCAAATACTCAAACGCGGACTGCCTAAAATTTGGTAGGGGTGAATGCTATTAAGCTACACTTAATCAACTAAGACCGAAACTTGATCTACTTCTCAATAAATTATAAAGGAGAAGATAACGTACTAGACAATTTTAGGATTGCATTAAACATAAATAGATTGAGTGCCCACTTTCTAATTCCAGCCTTAAATCCACTAGGCCAGAACTAAATATGTAAATAGTTAAACTAGTTAATAAATATGGGTCATACAGTTACTTAAATGCTTTAAGTAATAAAAGCATCATACGCTATAATCCGGATTGCGTTTCAGGAAGAGTTTTCGCAATTGTTTAATAGTGTTGGCAACAGTATCGACGATATGCTGACAGTACTTGGGACTGGTGTAGAAAAGGATATCAATCAGCGTCTCATTGGTATAACCACGGAGTTTTGGAATGCTACGAAGGGTCACACGCTTAAGACGCCTATTGACACCAATTTCTTCGGAGTGAAGCGAACAGTACCAACGAACTGGAAGGAATTCCACTCGACCAATCTCAGGCCTATCCTTGAAATGTGATTCCAAGAGAGCTGAAGCTGTTTTCCTATAGAGGGGATTTATAAGTAAAAAGTAGTGAGGGTACAGTTGACTAAAGTTCCAACAAAAAATGCAATCTAGAGGTGAACAAAACATTAGGCAATAAAACCTCCAACTATGTGTCTTTTAAACACAATGACAAGCCAACAAAAATGGCTCAAGGAAATGTGATGAGGTAATGACGAGCCAAGAGGTTTGACAAAAGCTGGACACGAATCAGAAACAATGAGTAAATGCGAATTCATTATTCAATACATGGGGCGTGCGATAGACTTACCTCCACGCGATGCACCCTGGGCAACGTATACTCACACGGCAAAAAAGTCTATTAACCGGCAGTTGACTTCTGACTTCAAAATACCATGGCCCGACTGCTCGTCATATTCGAACCCTCCTACAGTACTCATCTTACCTTTTTCCCTACCTTTGTGTCTGTCTGCCTCTTTTACATCTGTGAATCGCTCTTCTGTTCCCCGCCCCTCAACTTTCTGCTACTTTGATGAACCTTCCCTCTGTGAAGCCCGAAGTCAGCTAAATGGTTAATGATAGCTATCAAAACGCCTGTCATTTGAAATCAATAAATTATTCAATACATCAAAATGCAAGTAGCAACTTAACATTGAGAGTCAGATAATATATACACGAATATACTAGGCAATTTTCACAGGAGGATGTTACAAACGATTGGCAAATGATAAAATGACTCACCGCATATCATTGACACAAGAGATGAGACCCTCTCCACGCATGTTGTAAACGGATCCTATTCCATGAACGACGAAGACGACATGCTTAATTGGACGGTCATCAGAAGGTGGCAATTGGGAAGCCAAATCGTCTCTCAAACCACGATGAAGATAGGCGCAATCTGAGTAGGTTTCTGAGGCACTTTCACTCTCCTTATGGTATTGTAGCATAAGCTAAATTATGAGGAGAAAATATACCATAAATAGACCGAATCTACGAGAGAATGCGGGATATAAATGTAAATCGCGCTTCTGTGAGTTTGTCTCTCTCCGCATTTATTGAGCACTCAGCAACTGAGCACTGATGGACTAGTGACACCTTAAATCCCAGTCGTTCCGGCTGGTGTACACAACTTTCGAGCACTACAGACCTCCAAAAAAAAATACAAATTGTAGCAAATAAGCCTTTAAGATCCTACCATGGGAAAATCGTTAACTAGGGTCAAATTAGGAATTCATACAACTAAACACATCATGTCAAATGAATCTTTTACGCTTCTGTCACTCGGCAAACACGGAATATCAAATATCCTAAAGCCACACTATCTCAATTCGTTCTACTCACAAGCCCCGACATTAGAGTAATATTGTATTATCAAGATTTTCCATTTGAGGCTTTAAAACGCCTAATGGAATGGAGAATAATTGCATGATATTCTAAAGCCTCTTTACTGAAACACAATTTCCCTCAAAATTTTATGACCAAAATATTTAAAGAATTACAGTACAATTCTTTAGTCAAATGTAGACCAGATAGACATTCTGTGATCAATTCAAATAAACCACTCTTGAAATCATCTAGAATTTGAAATGTCAAAAAGAGCCTACACATAATTTAATTGACAAACAAGGGGGGGGGGGAAGGATATATCCCACCCACGATTTCACCACCTTTGGAGTAGTGGAGTTTTCAAGGTGGGACCGGCAACCAACTAGTCATGCAGCCAAAGAGAACCCCCCCCCACATCCAAACACTCCAACGATTCCTTAAGTAGAGAGAAATCAACATCATTAGAATAACAACCAACCTACCTTAGAATTATGAAATATGCAAGTGCATTGACCTGAAGGTGCAGTCTCATCGGTAACAAGAAATTGTTCTCCCCAGGAATTGGCCTCCAAAACGCGACGATAATTTTGTTCCAATCTCTCGCACATTGCCTCTGAGCAAGGCAACACACGCTGTTCATTTTGAGGTCTAGCAAGGGGTAGACAGAGAGAAGGTAAGTAAAACCCGGTAAAAAGATGTACTCAATTTCATGGGGCATAAAGCATAGCAAGAGTAGGAAAAGTGGTGACAAATACGGTTTAATAACAGTATGAGCCCTCTGCATGAACTCAAACCCGTGTCAATGAGCAATGCCAAGTACCTGACATTGAGAACATAGTTAGACATAAGAAATTAAAAACTAGACAGACAAAATTGGAGAAACCAGAAGAGACACGACTGAAAGTCAATCATTGAGACATAGGCCAAAAGTGTCATCATCGATTAAACATAATGAACGACATACTCTTTAGGGAATTGATTTCGAGGTAAAAGGTAACAAACCTAGAATCGGGTCATATTCTAGTGACAACTAAGAATTCGCCTTTTTTACATCCAATTGTTAGGGCACACGAGAACTGAATCGATTACAATGTTAGTGCAAAAACAAGGATAGGTTCAAAGTCGAACACTAATCCTATCCCTAAGCCGAGTTTCTCAATTCGGAAACTTCTTCAACGCTTTCGGTGGAAAGTACGTAGATTAATCCATTACGAATTACTAGAACTGGACAAAAAAGTCACATTCGAATTTTGATATTCTCAACATTGGGGAAAACTAAATCAAGAATTAAAAGATCAATGTTCCAATTCATTTAACAAAAATGGGTACATTTTCAGCAATGCCAGTGCTCCGGCGAATATTTTACTTAAAAAAGCAGTGATTTGTTAAAAGTTAGAACGAAAATTACCAGAGCAACAAGAAAGAGCTGGAAATGATGGCGGAAATTATGTTATGTTATATATTATCGCATACCTAAGTTCACAGCACATAATATTGTAAAATTGTTTTCAAATGTGGGATTTTCTATTGGTACTCCAGATAACCGATATCAATTATAAAATAAAAGCAAGAGACGAACAAACGATTCAAACAATCAATATCATTGGATCATTGATTAAAATGGAAGCTTTGACATGAGGGATCGAAAAGCAAGTGGCAACACAAAAAACGAATAAGTGACCTCATAGCTTAAATTAAGGAGACACATTCTAGAAACATCCATTAAAAGAGGGAACAATCCGTGTAAAGCCAATAGAGCAGATGCGTGATAGACTTACCAAAGTCAACTTCAGATGAATAGTAACAAGGTTTGTCATTTTGCGAATTCAACACTGACTCACATTCTTCGCCCACGAAAATAAACACAAGAATTTGATTTTTAAGGAGAGCATAATTTGAAATTATATACTTTTGAAGTTGAATTAATTATTAATAGTTGAGTAATGATAGGCTGATACGGAGGGGGAACACGCAGATAATGGGCTCCTTTTACATTCAATAAACAGAATGCCCAACCACGTAAGATAGTGAATAAACAAAAACAGAAAATAAAGCATCACTTTCCCATTTCCTGGAACCTCAGGAGGGCATCTTTTAACTTACAGTGAGAGTTCAAACGCTTTCGATATTAGTGTAAGAGGCCCTGACATTGCTTAAGAAGAACAAACACTTGTAAAATAGACAAGGATAGAAGAGAATTTGACAAATAAAAAATGGAGTGTCAAAACTGCCCAATGCACTTTTTGTGGCATGAGGCGTGATGAGGCCAATCATGTGATAAATTGACGAAAAACATTAATAATCACAGCATTAAAATTGTAATTAACTAAGTTAATAAGCATAAATAGATTTATTAATAAAAACAAACTCTGTAAGTTGGTTTGCATAGTGAGAGAATTAAAACCCGCATAAACCCGGAATACAGAAACATAGAGAGACAGGGATATATGATAACATAACCAACATGAGTTTATTAAGGATTAAGAGAGAACCAATTAAAACGTCTATAAGACCAACATAGTCATATTTACATATTTTAAAACCAGACAATTATTAAGTATAATTATAATTGTAATGGTAATAGTAAAAATAAAAAAAAACAAGCCCATCCGTGTAGGGTTGAAATTTGAGGGGAGAGCCAAGTGGGTGTGCGATAGACTTACCTCCACGTGGTGCACCCTGGAAATATGCCTTCACTATCAACATCTTATTTGGAAGCGGAGGGGTGTGTGCGATAGACTTACCTCCACGTGGTGCACCCTGGACAGCGTGCGATAGACTTACCTCCACGTGGTGCACCCTGGGCAACTTTCAACCCTTGCTGGTTTTCTAAACAATTATTCTTAAGAATACGATAGACTTACCTCCACGTGGTGCACCCTGGACAACGTACTTTCAAATGGCAGGCGTTATGATAGGTATCATGGGGTGTGCAATAGACTTACCTCCGTGGTGCACCCTGGGCAATGTATATTAACTTACCTCCACGTGGTGCACCCTGGGCAACGTATAATAATACGGCAAAAAAGTCTGTTAGCCGGGAGTTGACTTCTTACTTCAAACTACCATCACCCCACTCTGTCATATTCCACTGCTTTCACAGTGCTCACATCACCTTTATCCATCTTTGTGTCTGCCACTTTAACATCTTTGAAACAGTCTTCTATTCCCCCTCCCCTCTCGAATTTTTTCCCTTTGACGT